CCATAAATGGCCTTGTAGGGGTTGCCCCGAATATGAGCAGCGTTTTAACCCCTATGATAAGTAGCTACCAAGTCCCATGAACTTTCAAGTAGGTAGTGTTTGATGCAGACCATAAGGGTCCAAGTTCCTAATAATCATGTACTTGCCCAAGACATGTACCATCATTACTATAACCCTAAACCCAAGTGCCTAATTAATGGGCAGTTGGACCCTCTGGGAGACTTTCTGGGGCTCTACCCGTTTCAGGTATGAACAGGAAACCCTAACCCTAAACCCTAAAACCCTGAACCCTATAGCGTTTGGGGCATTCTATGGCTTGACGTTAGTGATGTGCAGTGTTTAGGCCATCAGCTTCCCCTAGCAACTACTAGAAGGTTTAGGAGTTACCCAGTGCTGGATTCTGCTTAGAAGAAATCCCAAAACTGATGTAGCCAAAAGGTCGAAAAATCCAATTCAAACATCGGCCAAGAGACTACTTTAATATCCCCTTTACCCAGATTCTATGTCATGTGCTATGTGATGTTCCCTTCGACTCTCTGCCATACCAAAAAACACCAATGAGTGAGACATGCCGCCCTAAACCCTAAACCCTAAACCCTGACCCCTAAACCCTGATGCCTAAACCCTAAACCCTGAACCCTGAACCCTAGGCTCGCTCTGCCCTGGGTTTGGGCTTAAAGCTACAACATACCCAAAGGTTCCATGTAGCCATATGATATATCAAATGTTATTTCATATGCTTCATAATTTGTTTAGGTATTATATGCTAGTTTATAAATATGCACATATATATATATATGTTATACATATACATTTAGGCCTATACTGGCGATCAAATGGAACATAATGGAGAAACTGATGTTAAACAGGTATATACGGGTTTATTGGGTTTAGGATTCCCCAAAATTGGGGGCCCCAATTTTTGGCAGCCCTTAAAAGAAGGATTATAGTATACAGGGTCTATCTTGGGGGTCCCCACAATGTAGGGGACTACACCATATAACGTTTTTGCAGCCTCGGTTTCCATTTCATTTTCCATGTTCTGCTCCACTTGATTTTGCATCATTTGGGGTAATATGTGCTCCATTTCCCCATGTAATTCCAGCTGATGAAGCAGATAAATAACCCTAAATCCTAAACCCTAAACCCTGCAGACGTAAACGTCCCCAGGGCTAAAAAAAAAACCCTCTACCCAAAATCCTAGGCCCTAAACCCTAAACCCTAAACACCATGGAGCCAAGGCCTGCAGCTTCCAAGGATGCTTTTGCAACTTGTGCTGTTCGGGTTACGGAACAAATGCTGTTGGGGGTACATAGGGTTTTAGGGGTTTAGGTCTTAGGATTTAGGGTTTAGGGTTACAGGGGCTATGTAGGGGTATTTAAGGGTTATATAGAGGGTTACACGACAAAGGTTGTTGGGTGCATATCGGGGTTTACAGGGATAATGGAAAAGAAAATGGAAGTTACTATTTCGGGCTATATGGGGGTTATATAGCTGTTTAGGGTTTAGGGGCTTAGATTTTCTGGGTTAGGGTTTAGGGTTAATGGGGTTTAGGGTTTAGGGGGAACTGCTGTAGTATATTGGGGTTAGATAGTAGAAATGACAATTGAAACTACTATATAAGGTTATATGGGAGGATGTAGGGATATATAAGTGTTATATAGGGCTTAGGGTTCAGAGAAATCCCAGAAGCAGCTTCTGAAGTTATGCCAGGAGCTATCTCAACTGAGAGCGGCCGCCTTGGCGACAACCGCTTAGTTGGCCACTGAAGGCAAACCTCAGAAGCAGGCGTACCATGGCGTGCCCGCGCCATCTGTGCTATAGTCTGAACTCCTTAACGGGGGGGTTATACAGGGGATTATATAGGGAAGTCTTATAGGGGTTACAAGGGGGATGCTAGGAGTTTAGACCTTAAGCCCTAAACCCTAAAGGGGATACTAGGAGTTTAGACTATAGCTCATCTTGCTATGGCAAAGAAGACACTGGTCAGATGGCAGGATGTTGACCCCTCGCAAGTGAAAATTGGAGGGTTCAAGCTAGCACGTCGACTGTGAGGGACAGGTGCCAGTCTCGCATAGGTTCCATGTTGAATGGAAGGGCAGATTGGGATGCATGCATCTTACTTTGGATAGTGCGCCTGCTTGCTTGGCATTTTCATTTGACATCTCAGAGGAGACTACCACTTTGTCTTTGGATGCTGCCATTGCCGGTTCCCACCTGCTTCAGGTCATATTCATGTACTTGTGCAAGGCAAAACCTAACTCTTTCCCAGATTCCATTGTTCAGACTGCCAAGGAAGACCAACAGCACAGCTTCAGACCATGCCTTCTAAAGACACGCAGCCACTGAACTTGGGTTCTAGTCATAGCGTTTGGCATGCCCTGGTTCCAGCGGAATGGTCACATGGAGCGCGATCACGTTGTTTCTTTTGACTGAGTTACAGCTTGGTGCTACTAACGCGCCGAGTGCAAGCGCCCAAGTTTTACTGCTGCACAGAAACTCAATAATGGCGAAGCTGTTGTGGTTGCCCTATTTCCGCTGCTCTCTGAGGCGTCAGCTGCATGCCCGAAGGGCTACTTCAGGAACAGAACCGTTCTTTTCCCTTGTGATGCGCTGTCTGGCTCTTTGCTTGCAAGAAATGTGGTATTACTATTATTATTATTTCTATTATTACTATTATTTTTTATTATTCTCATTACTATTCTTAATTAGTGTTATTACTATTAGCATTTGTGGCATTCATCAAGGTAGCTCTACCGTCGCTCAATAGTAGTAATGGTAATAGTAGTAATAATATAGTAATAATATAGTAATAATATAGTAATAGTATAGTAATAATGTAGTATTAATATAGTGGTAATAGAAGTAATCCGCGCATGTTTTTGACCGCTGCTGGGCTCGCTTCAGGAACTGCTTATGCGCCGGTGAGCGAAGTCGAGGGGGCGACCATAAGAGTTCCCCCTGGCGTAAAAGTCATCAGCTCAGTTCTGCATCTTCAGCACCTGCTACAGGTCAAAGAGGACCCCTTGAACTTATACGGCTACATGCTGAAGACCAGCTAGAAATGGCAAGCAAGTCTACAGCCAAAGCAGTCACAGATAATAATCAGAAATGGTAATATGATACGAATAGTATGTTTAGTACTCATAAATAGTAGGAATAGTAATAATGGTAACAGTAGTTTTAATAGTAATATTAGCAAGAATATTCATACTAGTAATCACTGTAATAACGGTGATTATACTGGCTCACCCAGGATGCTCAAGTGAATGTGGTCTCTTCAGTTGCCTTGACGATCGCCGTGGGCGATTCGGCGGACGTGGCGGCGATGACACCACTGATGCAAGGCCCTAAACCATGAATACCGTAGTAGCGTCCAGTTTCTTTTCCATTATTAGTACTCATAATGTTGTAGTCTCCCAATTTTCTATTCCATTATTACTATGCATAATATAGTAGCCTCCATTTGATTTTCCATTATTGTGATGTATCATGCTATAAGGATCCTTAACCCTGATGCGAGGGCCGAAGTCACAAGACTGGCGGGGTCTGGCTGTTGAGATAGATGCAGGCCCTGGTCTGCTGTGTGGGTGCTTCTGGGTGCCTCAAGTGCTGTTGACCGAGTGCATAGCCTTTGCCAGCTTCCTTCATGTTCTGCAGGGCAGGTTGTTTCTGAAGCTACCGGACATTGGCTGGGCATCTTCGCCGCAAGACTGCTGGCGCCTGCATCAGCCTCAAATCCGAATCTGTGTCTAAGGTTCCTGGCAAGCCGGAATTACTTACGAAGGGACTACGCCGAGCGTAACTTGACATTTGCTGGCTCATGCTGATTTGTAAAACTGACTACCATAACATTAGAGTATGTTATAATACTAAAATACTATAATACTCTAATAGTATAATACTACAATACTATATTACTACTATACTACAACAATAGAATACTGCAATACTATCATACTACAATACTACAATACAAAAATGCTACCCCTAAACCCTAAACCCATGATACCATAAGTATTCGGAACACTCAGTCGATCTGATTAGATTGATTTTGTGGACGTCTGAGCCATGGGGGTGCCTGGCCTTACCAAAAAATACTCTAAACACTAAACCCCAAATAGTAGTCTCCATTTTCTCTTCCATTATCCAATATAACCCCTATAATTCTATCTACTTCAGGGGAACCCTAAACCCTAAACCCTATATAGAAACTGAGGAGCTGGCTGTGTTGATACATGCAGAGAAAGGTGAGCAGCGTCACCTTGCCAACATCAGTGTCTGAGCTTTCATGGCGCTTTGTTCATGTTTTGCAGCCGGGGACTGGCCGCATGAAGGAGTTTTTGCGTGTGGTTCTAAGGGGTTTCCACTTTCTTTTCCAGTTTCTCCTGTAACATATATAATATAACCATAGAGTGCCTTAATTCTAAGATTCTATAACCCTATATATCAATAGAATGCTCTATAGTGCTTTGATTCTAAGGCTTTTCGTATGCAGCCTACAATGGCTGTAAGACCCCCGATTTGCCGATGGTGGCTTGGCTTAAAGCCGCTTGGGAGATAGGCCTGGTCCCAGTTGAGCTGTAGTCTAATTCCTAATAGGGGGTTTTGGGTTAAGGGTTAGGGGGGTTTAGGGTCCAAACTTCCTTATATATATATATAGCCCTCTGACATAATCCCCCGTAAGGGAGTGTAGGCTATAGTTCATTTTGGGCAAACAAGTACTTTAGCGTGAACAGGGTTTTGGTCAATAGGGTTCTGGATTTAGGGTTGATAGGGTTAATGGTTTAGGGTGAATAGTCAATAGGGCCCAGGATTCATGGGATTGAGGCTTTAGAGGTTAGGGGGAACTACTATAGTATATTGCGGTTAGATAGGGATATTGGAAAAGAACATAGAAACTAGTAGTATATTGGGGCCTCGGATAGTGGAACAGAAAAAGGGAAAATACTACATAGCGGTTATATAACGAGGGTATTGCAGGCTCAGTATACGGATTTATAGGGGAATGGAAGAGAAAGGAAGACAACGGTGTTATTCAAAGTCTAAACCCTAAACCCTAATTCAAAGTCTGGGGTTTTTGCTTTGCAGAGTTGGTTGGCTCCAGCCATCTTTCCATTTTCTTTTCCCACTTCCTTTATAACCCCCAATATACTATAGGTTTAGGGTTTACGGATTTTGGTTTAGGGCCAATATACTCTAGTAACTATAGTAGTTTCCCTTTTCTTTTCCATTATCCCTATCTAAGCAAATATACTGCAGTAGTTTCCGTTTTCTTGACCACTATCCCTTTATAACCCCTAATATGCTATAGTAGTTTCCCTTTTCTTTTCCACTACCCCTATCTGACGCCAATATACCATAGTAGTTTCCATTTTCTTGACCACTATCCCTTTAAAACCCCAAATATACTCTAGTAGTTTCCATTTCCCTTTCCACTATCCCTATGGAAGCCCAGTAAACTATAGTAGTTTCAGCTCAAGGGCTGCGACGACTTTGCTCGCTTCGCAGCTCGCCAGCTGGTCTTCAATTGGAGCTCCTGGGTGCAGTCGAAGTATGATTCCGCAGACGCGGCCCCCTGGCTTTCTACTGTAGGATCTTGCTGTCTTGACGGAGCAGATTGCTGGGTTGCCGTTAAGGAATTTAATTGAAGTTACTATATGGGGGAAACCCTAGTAGATACTATATACACCCATTATGGCAAAATTTTAGATCAAAACAGCAACCCAGCAGATTGTCTGCGAGCTTGGCACTTCGACATTCGATGCAGGCTTGGCAAGCGCTTTGTGATACCGCCATGCAGTCAGTGGAGCCCCTTGTGCCTGGCCCTGCCATGCCCTCAGGACAAGGCATGCCTCCTACTAGATTACAGCCAGAGATCACGCGTAAGCTGAATGTTATTATTCGTCAGTCTGGGGAGAAACTGTGGAAATATTAGTAGAGGTAGCAGCCGCAGGAAGAGTGGCCATGGCATTCACGTTGCAACACCGTCTTTAATTCAGGCGCCATGAGTTCAAGCTGCCAAGGTACACCCCAAAAATATGATAGTAGCTTCCATTCTCTTATCCATTGCTACTATGTTCCCCTAAATACTACAGTAGTTTCCATTGTCTTTTCCATTATTAGTCACTATATAACCCCTAAATCCCAGGTCCCTTTTTACATATTCGGTGATGTCTGGGCGCCCTGGCCGCTGGCCTCGCTCGTGCATCCTGGTTGGCGGGAAGCCTTTCGTTTCATTGACTCCCTGGGACACGTGGCAGCAAAAGAAACTAGCTGTTGCATGAAGTGCATGCTAATATGAGCTGTAGTCTCAACTCCTGAAAAGGGGGTTATGTAGGGGATTATATAGGGAAGCACCATAGGGCTTTCTAAGGGGGATACTAGGAGTTTAGACTGTAGCTAACATGTGGTTGCACTTGGCAGAGCAAGGCGTTTTGCACCCTAGGTGGAACGCCAGAGGATGGGTATGTCCAAAAGGCAGAGTGTCTTGGACGTCCTTATGAAAGCACAGTTGCCTTTCTCTGAGTAATTAGGGTCGGTGCGTGCCATATCTACTGCACTGGAACTACAGTTGGTACAAAACCACAGGGCTAAAGTTATCAGGTGTTTCTTGCATTAACCATAGTATCTCAGTTTACCTGCTCTGGCAGTTGCTGGCAGGGGGGATACTAGGAGTTTACACCATTGCTCGTATGTGTATGTTACTAGGGGGGATCCAACAGATGCCTTGTCTTACCGATTTTCTTGGCTGCCGCGTCAGGTTCGAAACCGCTTACGGTTTGGCCAGCATTTACCTTTCCATGTTTGCCTGGTGCGAGCTTTTACGCAAGCAGTACGCTACTTGGGAAGAAGCCTGGAACGCGCCCTTCGATTGCAGCTGGTGTACCCCGAGTCTTGATGTTGTATCTTTATGTTACTTGATGCTGTTGAACCCTTTTTGGCGCATACAAGTGAGCATGTCAGCTCTCATTGAGTTGATCTATGTAAGGAAGAGGGCTTGAGGTGTTGGTTTGTGTGCTGGCTTCCAAAGACATCTGCAAGCCTGGTCGGTCAAGATTTGAGACTGTCGCACATCTTGTACTGATTTGTCTTACCCTTGAAACAAGCCCGCGCTTATCATTGGCTGCATGTAATTCCGCAGTTGTGCATCAACACTAAAGTTATGCAGCTTCTGACTTAGAGCCTGCTTTTGTTGGGAGGCATCCTAAGTAATATACCTAGGGGAAACCCGAGCACATTTGCCTGGATTCGCCGGGCTGAGGATTCCTGCAGGGAGTCATGTTCAATGGGGTGTTGTTTTCGGTTCGAGTGTGCCAAGCACCCCTTAGATACATTGCTCTTTTCCTATGTGGTTCCCTGCCCCCCCCCCCTCCTGCAGTAGTCAATGTATCTTTGTTGTGGGGCCCACTTATTTGGCGACAGACGCCCATATCTTTGATGCTTCTAGCTGCTTTTGGAGCAGACCGCTTGGAATTGCTTCCATGCTGTCTCTGCTGCAGCTCCGCCAAGGTTGAGTGGTGTCGAGTTCGGCTTCAATGCTCCAGTAGACTTTGATCGATGGCAGACCTCATTCTGGGCCAGCTATCGTCCCGAAGCAGGCATGAACAAAGCATCGCCAGACCAGGCCTTCGTTTATGCAGATGCTAACGGCGATGAAGAGATCTCACGGCAGGAGTTTGAATCTATTTTCTTCAGCTGCTCCCCTGAGAATGCAAACAAGCCACCAGGAGGCGCGGCAGCTCATGCAGAAAAGGTTGAAGAAGCTGCTTTTCGCACAGGCAGTGCAGGCGGCAACACTTCAGCACCAGTGCCTCCAAGAGCACCCGTACGTCCTGCAAGATGCTTGTATGAGGATGTGGAAAACGTGGGTCGCGAGATCGGCATCTCTTCGATTCAGCCAAATCTCACATTGTGTCAGGCCAACTGTCGAACAACGCCTGGATGCGCTCACTTCACATTTCGCCATAGCGATGGCATGTGCCATATGCTGGACATGGAAGCAGGCTGGAGGGAAACCCAGGGCCTTATTTCAGGGCCCGTGAAGTGCGTGGCGCAAGTACAGATGAAGCTGGAAGACGTCGGCGAAACTTCGCGCTTAGAGGGTAAGGTGGACTTGCTGCAGCTGGAGCTTGCAGAAGAGTTTGCCAAATCTGCTAAAATGCCTGTTCATGACATCCGGGACCTGAATGGCAACCCTGGCAAAGTCACACTCTCCTTTGGCTCTGAGCCAGGTGGGGAAATCTTGGTAGCTTGCTTTGTCGACGTGCCTCCGGGTGGTGAGTTGCACGACATGGAGCGAGTGGCCCATGGCCAGCCTCATCACAAGCTGCTTATGGGTTGCTGTTAAGGAGCTTAAGTTGAATTACCATATTGGGGAAACCCAATGAAATTACTGTATAGACCCATTATGGTAACTTAATTTAAGTTCCCCAAGCAACCCAGGCTTGAGGCATTGAGGGCTGAGACAGGGCCTGGTGCAGAGATGAAGGTTGAGGTGGCGGTCGTCCCGGAATCGCAATGCTTCATCCTTGGGACCAGGTACACACCAGATCTCAATGCTGAGAAAGCTGCTGTGGCCACTGCCAAAGCCTGTCAGGTCATGTGTACGCAGACAGAAGGCTGCCGTTTCTTTTCCTATTTGAAGACTTCAAAGACTTGCAGCCTACAAGGTGAAGGTGCAACGCCTGTTTTCTATGAGGATTCGGTAGCTGGACCGCAACTGTGTCACAATATCCCTCAGGAAGCTGAACCTCCGGCTGATGAGCTTGAGACGGATTCCCCTGGCACCATTTTCACAAGCTTTTGGTTCTGGTGTATCTTGGTTCTGATCTGCTGTCTGTGCGTGGCTGCCTTGTATTTTATGTTCCGAAAGGGCCGACTGTGTTTCACTGGATGGAGGCGGCAATATTCCCGGCCAAAGAAGCGTGAGGAAGCAAAATTGAATGAGCACCGGTACATGGCGCTGCCGCCCACTGACCAGGAGCTTGAGCAAAACATGCTCGCTCAGGCTGCATCCGATGCAGCAGGGCAAGGATCTCCACTCCAGTCGCTTCACCCGGTAGATTTTACTGGTAAGTTCCCTGGTTCTGCTAACTACAACGGAAGTTGGGGAACCAATGGGAGCCAATGGAGCTGGCAGGTTGACCGCATGTCGACAGCACCGAGGGATACTCTAGACCATGGAAACGGAAGCCCCCGTCACCTTGGAGTGCCTCCCTCAGGATTTGCTCAAAGTGCATGGGGGCCAAGCAGGCCAACATCTTCCTGGCAACAATCTCCCAGGAGTTCTGATATGCGGGAGGACTCCCCTGACTGGATGCCACATTTTTTGGGAGTGGAAGCCGTAAGGGAGTCTTATCAAAGCTACGACGCCTCGCAGCGGGCCTATCCACCGGAGCGCTCCTCCTGGCCTGCGCCGCAAATGCCCCAGAGGCGGGGGCGCTGTTGCGCATTGCCCCCGTCCCTTATGGGGGTTACTATGGGGACTACCTAGTAATACAGGGTGTTATAACGACTCTATTAGGGTTTTATATGGTAATGGGATTAAGGGTCCCTATTAGGGGTCCCTCCAAAAGTCCTTAGACTTAAGGAGTCCCACATAGAGTTGCAACCCTTGTGAGATTCTCTCTGTAGCCTCCGGAAGCTGACGCGATGAGCTTTGTCACATCCCATGGCTTCACAAGGTTTTTGCAAGAATCGCACTTCTCACAACGCATCGTTCATGAGTTGGAGGACACATATCCTCTTACAAGCTTCATTGGGGAACAGCATGACAACTTGAGAGTATCTTCCCACAGTTGACTCCCATCGTTTCTCAAGGAAACTTAAGACAAATTCAGATAGTCTTGTCGGTTGCTCACATGCATCTTCTGCATCAGGCTTCCGCCACCAGTCTCAGCAGACTTCCCGCATGCATCCAGCATGCCCTGTCCTTCCGCATTTCAGCTGAACCAGTCCGGCGCGGGAAGCGACTTGGTCTATAGTTGTGCTCGGAGTGCACGTGCCCACAAGTTTAGCACCAGGTGGTGTAGACTGAGGCCCTTATGGCTTCAACCAGTCATGGCGGGGCTGACGTATGCCTGTACATAACGTGCGCCTTTGTGTCACACACGGATACCTGTCTTGCCTGTGCACACCTACAGCTGCACTGCCACTTTGCTGTCTCAGAATTATTCTTGCGCACCATAGGTCACAATAATTCAATTGCCGGCCGGCCAAACTGCCACTTCGGGTGCTCGAGAATTAGCCCGTCAATAAACCAAGCAGAGCATGAATTGATGCTGCCGGGCACGTCCTGAAGTGTGCATGTAGGCTTGCAGCACTTGGGCTTGTAGAATAGCATGCGCCGCGGTTCTTCGGCCGCTAAGCTCCGACTTTCTGAACTGCCAGTTCGGAAGTGAAAATCAACTTTTGTTGAACTGCTTTCTCCATGCGCCGTTTTGCAGAGCCACCAGGGGACAATGGCATTGTGCCAAAGCAAAGGGCAAGCTGCGAGATGTGGATTTGGGTGCCAGCTTTTGCTGCTCAAGCTGAACTCTGTTGAAGATGGCGGCAATGTGCGCCGCACAGTATCTCAAGATCGTCATGACAGCTTCACATGAACCATAGTCTAAACTCCTTAAAGGGGGGGTTATATAGGGGATTATATGGGGGACTACCATAGGGGCTATTAAGGGGGATACTAGGAGTTTAGACAATGGCTCACATGCTGTTGGGTCTCATTGGTGTTAACCAAGGGAGTGGCTGCTGCCAGCAAGACTGGGCAGTATCTGCTGAGTACTCAGTTCCCTCCCCCCACTCCCCCACTCCCACATCCTGGGTTGCTGTTAAGGAACTTAAATTAAGTTACCATAATGGGTATATATAGTAATATAGTAACTTAACTTAAGTTCCTTAACAGCAACCCAGCATCTTCAAGCTTTAGATTTTCTGTCATGAAGCAAGCGAGGTTAGCCGTGCTGGCACAAGCAACCATGGCACCTAACATGGCAGGAGCTGCTTGGCTTCAAAGCTTTCTCTTTGGCAATGCCCCCCACAAGTGGTACTTTGGGATACGAACGGTAGTTTCCCTAAATAGGGGGACCCCAACATAGACCCTAATATACTATAATCCTTCTTATGGGGACCCCCAAAAAGGTACCCCTAATTTTGGGAAACCACCAAATTGGGTTTTTGGGACCCAAACTGGGGTCCTCCTACACAGTTTGGGCCTAAACCCTAAACCCTAAACCAGGTCCGAAGCAAGCAGCCAGCAGCCGCTCCTGCCGGTGCTGCGCCACCGCGAGGAAGGCCAGCAGGATGGCTTTGGGTTATATGGGGGCTGTATAGGACTATAGGGTTATACAGGACTTTACAGGGTTATATAGGGTTATACAGGGTTATATAGGGTTATATAGGGTTATATAAGGTTATATAAGTAACAGCTGTAATGTGGCCATTCATTCCACGCAGATAGGATGCCCATGAAGCTGTCTATTGCTACCTAAGAGTAAGCAAGAAACTTACAGTTGCTTTCTGTTTCTATGATTATTTCTAGGATGCATGCCATTGCTAGCGCAAGAAGGAGTACCACGGCTGCAACCTCTACCGCTACTAATTACCAATGCTGCGCCGGTAGCAAAGCCAGAATCTGGTAAATGGGTTGAAGGTTAGGGTGTAGGGTTCAGTTTCGAGGGCATCCTAGCAACGTCCAGGGTCATATAATTTAGCAGTTTCCATTTTCTTTTCCATTATCCCTAAATAACCCCAACAGAACCCTATATATACCCTGTTGCAAGAAGTACGCAAGTCGCAAGACCTCAGTGTGCTATGGCCTTAGGCCCTGCCAGCCAGTCTTCAAAGGAGGACACCATGCAAGCTGGGCTCCCAGTGAGTCTTGATACCAATTGTCACATATGAAGTTACAGCTTGCGTTGGCGCTCTTGTGGCCCAGGTGCAAGCGGGACTGTGCGAGCCTCGTGAACGGGACAGGGTGGGCTTATAGTCCCCCTTAAGTAGATAGAATATGGGGTCTATGGGGATCTTATTCTAATATACCCAAAGCCATATTCTATCTGATTAAGGGGGACTCTATGAGGGAGGTTCTTTGAAGCAGCTTAAGTTTGTAGATCCGTGCAGAGCGTCTGAGCCTGCCTGGTCTCACTTGCTTAAATCCCTATATAACCCATTGTGGTAGTTTCCATGTTACTTTCCATAATCCCTATATATCCCCACTATACTCTCGTAGTTTCCGTTTTATTTTCCATCATCCCTTTACATAACCCCAGTATACTATAGTAGTTTCCATTTTATTTTCCATTATCCCTATATGATTTTCCTGCTCCGGAACAGGTCTTGGTGTGTCCATTTGGACCCCTGGCTCTCAGGATGGTCGTCAAAAGCAAACATTTCAATGAATAGGGTTTAGGGCTTCGGGTTTAGGTTTTAGGGTTATAGGGTTTAGGGCTTAGGGTTAAGAGGCTTTAGGACTTATGGTTTGAGGGCTTAGAGTTTAGGGCTTAGGGTTAATGGGCTTTAGGGCTTACGGTTTATAGGCCTTAGGGTCCAGGGTTAATTTGGCCTAGGGGTTAGGGCTCAGGGTTTCAATCGATGCCTGATCCTCGGAAGTTCTTCTTCTCAGTAATGTAAGCCCGTGATTAAATAAACACCCTCCTTTTTAGCGCCTTCATATTAGGATCCCTATTATAACCCCTATTATGGGGAGGGGGTTTATGAATCAGGGTTTTGCATTAGAATATATTATCTTATACATAATATATTATAGTACATTATACTGTACTAGAATATGCTACTTTCGTCAGGGACTTACATTAAGTGCCCAGGCCGCACCAATTCGTGCAGCACCTCCACCCTGGGCAACCCATGGACCGGAGGCGTGTAAAGAATAGAAAACGAACAAATAATATGAAAAAAAACCAAAAAAAAAGAGATAGTAGTTAGAGTGGTGGTGGTAGTAGTAATAGCAGTAGTAGCAGCAGTGGTAGTAGTAGTAGTAGTAGTAGCAGTAGCAGCAGCAGCAGCAGCAGTAGTAGTAGTAGTAGTAGTAGTAAAATAGCAATGAGAGTAGTCTTAGTCTAGTCCTAGTAATGGGCAAACAATGCGTCGGCCACTTGCCCTTGCTTTGGGGCAACTTGAGGGTACTCCTTCGAGGTTGAGGCTGGATTTAGGGTGCATACTAAGAATCTTGCATGACCCAAAGTACCTCATACATTGGGAATTATGGTGCTATAGTATATTCAGGTTATGCAGGATTTTTCGTATCAACCGTAGGGTTGAGTCTTCAGTGAAGACAAGCCGTCACTTCTTTTAGGGTTTGGGCTTAGTCGAAAGTTTGCAAGCCATCACCTATCAATGAGGTTGACATTTTGCTGGCTATCAAATTGTTTTGCCATCGCTCCTTGAAGTGTTTAGAGTCTTGTAGCCATTGCTATTCTCACGTTTGGTTTGTAGAGAGTTTGGGCCTTCGCTAGGGTTTGGCACCCATCATTTTTGCATGGAGTCGGGGCTTGTTATCCGCGCTTCCTTTTAAGATTTAGGGTTGCGTAGGGTTTGCTAGCCAAATTCGCCACACAAGGGAGACGGGTGGCCCTGTAGATGTTGTCCAATTTCGGCGCCGACTCACCCAGCGGGTGTCTGACATCTTGCTGGGAGAGAGGATGGCAAACACGAGGTTATGACTCAAGCGGCCAATACGATTATCTGATTATCTATGTCCTGCTCACACCTCTGCCTCGGCTTCGTTATCCTGAACACGGGACGTGGCTTACATGTTGGTTTCCCATCCTCCTACTCCGATGGTTATGCCCTGTCCTTGATGGAATGCCAAAGGACTTGCTTGTTGAGCATCCCAGGACCTGGCGTGTGTATATTTGTATAGGGAAAGTCAACGTCAAAACGTTGCTTGTGCAGGTGATGGACGTCAATTTCCGAGGCAAGCGTGCTCATCCGTGGCTTGGTTGCAGCCGATTTACTTTATGCACTTGCGTGACGGCCAAGGTGGTTGGAGCTGGCTACAAGACCCATTTCCTAGTCTAGTAGACTTAGTAGATCCTTCCTGCCACAAAGTGCTCACAGCTGCTTCAGCAAGCCTCAAGAGCTTCGTGAGCAACGGCTTCACCCTGCATGAAATTGGTCCCGCTGTGCTTGCGGGAATTGCTCAAGCATTGCCAAGGCACCATGGTGTTCAGTGACCCTGGCTGTTTTAGACATTCATGAGCGATGTGTTGGAAACTGTGGCACCTCCCGCTCGTGCAGCTTGCTTCTCTTGACAGTTTCCGTGGCACTGATTCTTTGGCGTCGATGCATTTCATCGACCAGGCGTCTCCGCTTGCATCAGCTGCGAAGATGGTGAACGTAGACTGAAATATTCCCTTATTCCCCATATTACCCTTATATTCCCCCCTATATCACCCCCATATTGTCCCTATACAATAGTATATTCTAGCCCTCTATGTCCTTACTCCCTAAACCCTAAACCCTAAACCCTACAAACACCCCCCCCCCTTGGCAGGACCAGGCGGCGAATGCGAGGCTTTCTCGGAAATTCGTGATGGCCTCAACCGTGCTTCAACGCCTGGGCCCCAGAGATGGGCCCAGAGGCCTGCTGAATTGGGTTGAGGGTTTAGGGTTGAGGGTTTAGGGTTTAGGGTTGAGGGTTTAGGGTTTAGGGTCTAGGGTTTAGGGTTTAGGGGTTGAAGGGTTTAGGGTTTAGGGTTGAGGGGGTTATATAGGGATTATATGGGGAGTTATATAGGGGTTATTATCTCCCTGTAAGGGAGAATCAAATGGAAAAGAAAATGGACGATGAAATGGAAACTGGGGGGATATAGGGATTCAAGGAATTTAATTAAGTCATTGTACATGGGAAACCTTAGTATATACTATATGTACCCATTATAGTAACTGAATTTGAGTCCCTGAACAACAACCCAGTTAAGGGCAAGTTCGAAGCTGCAAAGGAAATCCAATAATTTAACTCAGTAAGGGACATTTTTAGGTACTTGTAGATATCCGCCCACGTCCATCCTGTTATGTTCTGCAGTTTGCACTCTACTTTATGGCCTGGCCGGAAGACCCTAAACCCTAAACCCTAAACCCTAAACCCTAAACCCTAAGGAGGAATTCCTCAGCCACCCCACCAAAAACTAGCACCGCGTGCTCTTGCCAAAGCAGTTTGAGGAGCCTCCCTTGCGGGGCAAAATGGGGGTTTCCTCAAATTAGGGGTGCCATTTTGGAGGTCCTTCTAATCTATAGTATTTTGGGGTCTATATTTGCGGGTCCCCTTATTTTGGGAAACTACCAAATTTGTCTAGGCTCCGATTGCCGAGGCCAACGCCTCCCCACGCTGGATGAGGTCACAGACGGCTTTGTGGTTGCACAGGCTGCTCGCGCACGCTTGCTTCCGGATGGCAGTCAGTGCCAGGACCATTTGTCGTCCTCCCGCGCTGGCTCCCTCGCCAATGCGCTTGGCTCCCGGCATGCGGCCCATCCAGAGTAAGCTTCCTCTCACTCTCGTGCGTCAGGCCACCAAAGCCAATGCCAAAGTCTTTATCAGAAAGCAGGAGCACACTTGCACTCGTTGTCTTCTTTGTTTTCATGTGAGTATCACCCAGAGCAACTTCACCCAGCAGGACCAAGGGTGATATGTCCAAATGTTCCAAAATTGAGGACACAGGGCTTGGCTCTCAGAGAATTTTTTTCAGGGCAAGAACCTTTTTGTTTGTATGCTGCATGCTCCCCTCCCCCCTAACATTAACTCCCCCCACCCCCAACATGAACAAATCCCAATATATTATACTATACCATATAATAGGAGAATTTAATATTAGGGAGTGAGGGGGTTTAAAATTAGCCCTCAACCCTAAGCCCTAAGTGTGGGGGGCTGTTAATATTAGGGGAGGCGCTTGCTTCTCTCCCGGTTCACGCAGGCATGCAGGTTCGGCTAATGGCCAGGGACCGAGCTCAGCCTGGTGCAGCTGCCATGGAACGAATAGTCCCCTTAAGTAGATACGGTATGGGGTATATGGGGATCTTATTGTGATAGGGCATGTTCATATTCTATCTACTTAAGGGGGACTATAGCATGTTTTGATTTGATTTTGCTTTTGTGCAGGTCCGTCAAGACCTTCCTCTGCAGCCGGTACGCTATCTACTCGATCGGCGATTAGACGCTCAACTTGCAGTAAAGACACAGAATCGGGTCGCTGCACCGACAGAGCGAGACAGAGAGGAAGTGCGAGGAGTCCATGCGCTACAGCGTTGGGCAGCTAAGGAACTGCTCCCCAGGCCCATTTGGCTGTTTTGTCTCCAAACCTCGGACAGATGCTTCTTTGCAAAGAGCGAAGGCTGGTCCCCATATCCAGGCTCAACATCGTTCATCCACCGCACTGGCACCCTCTGCGCGGCGCCACGCCTTCAGAAAAGGGCACCAGAAACAAGAAAGATTGTGGCTGATCCCAACCTGGCAAGGTCCCGCAAGACCTTACAGAGGGTGTGAAATAGATGAGCTGCCCGTGGAGCGCGCCCAGGTCCCTCTCGCGACAGGCATTCGAGCCGGAGTGAGCCTGTTTCCAGACGGTCTGCCCCATAAGCAGCGCTTAACAAGCAAAGCAGCCTAGAGCAGCCGGCATCAAAGTGCAGTCAAGCGTAGGAACCCCAGGGCAAATGGGTCATAAATATGGGGCTGCAGTTCTCTTGTACCTATAGCTGGCTGAGACCTGGTCCGCTACGGTTCTTACCGATCTCAGCTCAGGGCCCCTTTCAAATCGAAAGCGGGCCAATGCATGCGCGGGGCGCAGCTGCTCTCCCATTTCAAGTTCTGACTTCCGCATATGCAGATGTGTAGATCTTACATAGGGTTGTAATCGCGCGTCTCGCAATTGCCCGTTTGCCTGCACGGCGCACGACCTCTGCCGATGAAGCAGTTGGCAAGCTCACCGCGAGCGAAGAGATCCAAAACCAATTTTCAAGAGACCAGGAAAAGGCCGGATGAAGGGGATTGCAAGGCTAATGGGCAGTTGGAGAAATTGTTTCTGAGCAGCAAACAGAGATGCGTTTTGGTTGCGTAAAACTTGCTATTGCCATGGGCGTGTTTGTTCCTCAGCCATTTGTCTTGACAGGAGTTCTCTGTAGCGTGCGCAGCCAGGCCATCGTGTAGTTGTGTCTAAAAATGCTGGCCTGGCTGGTGCGCATATTGACCTTCATTGCTTGCATGGGGCTGTTGCAGTGCCACAAGCCGGACAAGGGAAATGCAACTTGCGACAGCACTGCTTTGCTCCAAAGGCGCAAGCAGAGGATGCTTGAGGCCGAGTCTGATGGCCAAAATCAGACCAAGGGCAGTGCTTTCAGCAAGTGGTACTCGTATCAGTGGCATTCGCGAAGAAGGTCTCGCCACTATGGAGCAAGCGGAGCCATCAGCAGGCTGCACAGGGAGATCGACAGCCTGCAAAGACGGATTGGCGGTTCAGCAAACAGGTTGGATGATCAGATTGTTGACTTGGAGAGCACCCTCTACAATCTGACTGAGAACCTCAATGCACAGACCACGGAGTTGGAGAGAAAGATCGAATCCCCTCCTGTCTCTCCCAGAGAGAGCAATGTACCGATCAGCATCTTTGATGGATTCTGTGATCCGGGTGCTGCCAAGCTGCCGCCGGAGTCTACATGCAATCAGTCCGATGTCACAGCCAACGCGCCCTGCGAATTCACCATCAGCAACCAGATCGACCGCGCCTCATCCAACGGCAGGATCTTGCCTGGCTGCCCGTTTCTCAAGGACACCTACCAGGAGCTCTTCATGTACTGCAATGATGGATCCTTCGAGCGCCTTGTGACAGCAACGACTTGCAATGGTCTGGGGACTGCAAACTTTCCCCACCAACTGGCTGTCTATGAGAACCTTACAGCTTTGTGCAAAGTTGTTGCCTGCAACAACAACTTGGGGAGCGCTGCTCGGTACCCCTGTGCAGATGCCTGGCAAGGCGACGGTCCTGATCTTCGAGCAACAGTCAAATTCAGAGCTCCTCCCAACACCTGCTTCTACATCGTCCAGCAGTCTGCAGGTGGAATGGGGAATGAGACGGACACATTGATGTTGAAGAGTGCAGCAGCGGCACCTGGGGGAGGACTCCAGGGTGCTTCCTTGCTGTCCGTTGCTCAAAGTCAAGAAGCCGGCCAAGCAGGCAAAGTGCCGCCGAAGTCGCGAGCACGCCGCGCCTGGGAAGGGAATCAGCATTGCTTTGCAAAGTCGCTACTTACAATTATATATAGGCCGACATAGCCCTCTTGTCTTTCCGCACCATCATGAGCAACACATAGGCGTCACATTGGCTTGTGTTGGGCGCGCTAGCCTTCTTTTGCACGTGAGCTTTACCTTGTACTGCCTCAGCTCTTGGATGCATTTGTGTTGCTGTGAATTCGTCTCGTACTTGGAGCGCGGTGACCTAATTAACGTTTTCGCTTTTCTCCGCTGTATCCGGAACGGCTTGTTCTGCCTGTATTCGCTGCTCGTGACATTGAAACAAGAGATTTCTGGTGGCTACGTCGCTCCCGGCGGTTGATCTTCATTCGGCTTCCCATACATGCTTGGCCCCGCCGCATAAGCAAGCCTTGCGGCATAAGCAATAAGCTCATGCTCGGCCGAAACCTCCCGGGGTAGGGGCTTTTCGCTCTGTTCGGGTGGTGGACGCTGGTCTGAGCGGCATGGGGTTGAGCCTCTGCATTGGCAGCTACTAGTAATTTGATTTCGCAAAATCAACAATGGTCAGCATGCTGCTGGAAATGTGTGGTCTAAACCTCGTATGCAGCGTATGCTTTGGATGCTATGACCCTCAACATGAAATAAACACCATGCCTTGCTTTTGTTCATCAGTGAGATGAGCTCATGCAGTCCCCGGGATGGCTTGCACCCACGCAGAAACCAAAACTATGGGTTATATAGGGACTATAGAGTATATATTGGGGATTATATAGGGGTGATATAGGGATAATGGAAAAGAAAATGGAAACTACTATATGATGGGGTATATATTGGAGAT